TGTCTGTCGTGCGTGGGTGGGGTTTTCGTGTTGTTGTTGTTGTTGTTGTTGTTGTTGTTGTTGTTGTTGTTGTTGTTGTTGTTGTAGTTGCTGTTGCTGTTTTTGAAGCTGTTGCTGATGTGTTGTTGTAGCTGATGTTGGTGTTGCTGTTGTTGTCGTTAATGCGGTTGTTGTTGTTCTGGGTGTGCAGTAGTTGCAACACCACCACAAGCAACCGCAGCAGCAGCAGTGATAATAACAACATCAATATCAACAAAAACACAAAATCAGCAACAACAACAACAATAACAACAACAGCAACAGCAACAGCGACAACAATAACAACAACAACAACAACAACAAACAAACAAACAAACCAATAATCTTTGCGATACAATGAAATCCCGGTTTGGGCAAGTTTGCAGCCATATCTTGACAGAGTGTGTTCATTGTCCTTATGGCGACTGCCGAAGTAACCGTTACTATAGTGAACAACATTGCCATAACCTACATCATCATCATCATCATCATCATCATTATCATCATCCTTCTCCTCCTCCTCCTCCTCGTCATCATCATCATCATCATCATCATCATCATCATCATCATCATCATCATCATCGTCATCAATGGAATTTTACGTATGTTACCTTTCCTCAATATTTACCCAATAAAGTATTCAAACCAAACGAACCTTCCTTTAAGCCTTAACCCCGCCTTCTCTCATTCTGTCATTCAATAGACTCCATAGATGTCCTCTTAAACCCGCCCTCTCTCACTTATTCGTCCAGTAGATTCCTTTGATGTCCTCCTTTAATCCCGCCCTCTCTCATTGTATCATCAAACAGACTCTTTAAACCCCGCCCTCTGCCATTGTTTCATCCAATAGACTCCTTCAACCCCGCCCTCTCTCCTTGTTCCATCCAACAGACTCCGTGGACACCCCCCTTTAACCCCGCCCTCTCACATTGTTTTATTCTATAGATTCCGTAGAAATCTTTCTAATCTCGCCCTCTCACATTGTTTCTTCCAATAGACTCCTTTAACCCCGCCCTCTCTCACTGTTCCTTTGACCCCGCCCTCTCTCACTGTTCCTTTGACCCCGCCCTCTCTCACTGTTCCTTTAACCCCGCCCTCTCTCACTGTTCCTTTGACCCCGCCCTCTCTCCTTGTTCCATCCAATAGATTCCGTATAATTTCTCCTAACCCCACCCTCGTTCCTTGTTCCACCCAACAGACTCCGTGGATGTCCTGGAAGTTTTTGACTTCGACAGCGTGTCTCAGGCCCAGGGTGTGGTCAAGGTAGACGGTTTCTGCCAGGACAGAGTTGTGTCTGATGACCCCGACGACACTGCTGTCGTCGCTGACCCCGCATGGAGAATCAAAAATGGAGAGTTCCTGCAACACAAGGGCATCAAGGAGGTCTTCCCAGGTTGGTGGCAACGTTTCTTCTCGTCTATTATTTATTGATTTTATGTATGACAATTGTGAACATTTGGTCATTTAATGCGGGGTTGTTTGTTTGTTTTGTTGTTGTTGTTTGGTTGTTTTTTTTTGGGGG